TCGATGAATTTGAGGTAAAAATTAGTGAGTTACGGTAGGTTTACGAACTAGGAACTACTTTAAAGGCGCATGGGTTACCTCAAAACACAAAATTGAGACAAGTAGGTCATGATTATAGTCATATTGAAGCCTGTAACAAGAAAAATAGAATGGTAGTATTTTCATTGAGTTTGGGGTAGAACTGAGAGAGTTGCGGTAGTTTTACTGACTAGGAAACAGCTTAAGGGTTCCTCAAAACGGAATTTAAGAAAATAGGGCATTAAGAAAATAGAAATTTAAGAAAATAGGTAAAAAATAATAGGTAAAAAATAATAGGTAAATAGGGCATTAAGAAAATAGAAATTTAAGAAAATAGGGCATTAAAGCCTGTAACACGGAACATCGAACGGTACCATTTTCATCAGAGTAAAATTAAGTGAGTTACGGTAGCTTTACTGGGAAACACCTTAAAGGCGCATAGGTTGAGCTAACCAGGTCATCAGCACTGTCTTTCGTAACTCATAATTAGGAGAAAAATGTTGAAAATGAAGGACAAACTTTCTGCCGATTTCCAGAGCAGCAGTACCCTTTTATACTGAATAGTTTCTAGTTTGTTGGTGAGCAAAAATCAAAACTACAGTACTCCTTTTTACATACGTCGTCGTTGTCTTCAGTTTCCCGCATAAATCAGAAAGTAGAAACTACAAACTAGAAGAATTGTGTGAGAAAAAGGAAAAAAAGAATTTCACAGAATTTCCCTTTTCAGATAAGAAAACATTTTCATACGATTTTTCTTCAATATTTCAGATTGGCCTGGCAAATATGGTCTTCCTATTATGCATTTTCCTAATCTCTATTCTCTATACAGAACAGGACATACATTTGGCCGGGTAATCCTTTCTAAATCCTTTTCTTGAGTCGTATGATTCCAGTTTTCAGAAATATCAGAAGTAGTTTTTGAAGACGATGTTATAGACACAACATTTTTAGAATTTGTCTGAAAATTGGGGACTGAACTGATTTTGAAGGCAAAGAGAAAGTGAGAGACGTAGAGAAAGAAGAAAAAATCATCTAATTTGTGTACCCCTTGGGCTACACAGGGTCAATGAACCATAAACAGGCCTAATCCATTGACTACTGTCAGTTTAAAGGCGCATAATTCAGGAACTAAAAATGCAACACAAATAGTTTTAACTACAAAAATATAAAGCCTAAAATTTGACACATTCTACTAATTGACAACTTTTTTCTAGCTACAGTAGTTTTGGAGTTATGCGCCTTTAAAGTTGTGCCCCTCCCCTTGGGCGAGAAGGCGCCGGACGGCTGGGGGTTTTAAGGCGCATAACTCGAAAACTAAAAATGCTAGACAAATTTGTTAAACTAACAAAATATAAAACATAAAATTTGGCACATTTTAATAATTAACAAATTTTTTTCTAGCTACAGTAGTTTTGGAGTTATGCGCCTTTAAAAACTTGTGCCGCCGGGCGCAGAAGCGCGCCACCTTTAAAGGCGCATATCTCAAAAACTGGGAGTGCTACCTTAAATTGTTAAATTATCAAAATATAGAGCATAAAATTTAACACATCTCATTAGTTGACAACTTTTTGTTAAGTGCGAATTCCACCCACAGTGGCGA